GCCAGAGGTGCATGGGTGGTGAGAGGATTCACCAGAGACAGACTGGGGAGCAGAACAGGCAGATTGACGAAGTACACTGCTGAGGGGAGCAGGGGTGAGACAGCCCATGTGGGTCAGCTCCCTGGCCTGGGATTGAACTCAAACTCGTGCTGAAGCTCTGCAGCCAGCTTCACAGTGCTGCTCTTAACCCATTGTGCCACAAGGGAGGGTCCTCTGGGTACTACTGTTTAAATTTCTTTTCCCTCTACCAGGTTCTAGATGGCTATTTTGTGCACTACTTTGCCCCCAAAGACCTTCCTCCTTTACCCAAGAATGTGGTATTTGTGCTTGACAGCAGCGCCTCCATGGTAGGAACCAAACTCCGGCAGGTGAGTGGGTGCCCGCTGCCCGTTTATGCCTCTCACTTTGGCCTCACACAATGATGCTCATTGTGGATAAGAGTCAATTGATGCCAGCTGTCTGCTTCACAAACCAGCTATTCTTGCCTACAAAGAAAATTCCTGAACTGATTCGGCTAAGCCATAGACATAAATTATTGTTTCAGCATGGTGGTTTTATGAGAGCAGAGGGACATACTGTAGAAACACCATCAAATACAGGCCTGGCAGAGTAGATAATGTGAATGAGACAGGAACAAACAGAAACCCGCTGAACATTGGGAGAATGTTGTTGTGTGAGGACCATGAAATAGCGTCATTTATCCCTTTGGCCTATCCTTAGGACAAATGATTTACATTTCAATGACTAAGAACTGATAATCTCAAAGTATTTAGGATGTATCTTAGACACTCTAGGGCTGGGAAAGACATTAATGGGACATATATTTACATGTTATGCTAACTACTGAAAAGAGGGTTTTATGCTATCACAATTATCAAAATTTTGCATTTATGATCGATGTATAACACACGTGGTGGAAAACAGAAAGAACTGTTCCTAATTGCCAGACTATTTATTACGTCTATATTTATCACAAACGTTGATCTCTCAGCTTTTCTCTAAATTCTTTATCTATGTTTATCAACTAATAATATGTGGTTGATATGTGCAAAAAATAGTATTTCAAACCTCATTAAAAACCTTCTGTCCCTCCCTCTTGTAGATCTCACTCCACATGTAGAAGAAATTGATCCAAGCTGATACTTGATTGTCAATATTTTCTGTTATTATTTTGTCAGTGGTATCTTTGCCCATTTTTATTTTTTAAACCATGTAGAAAACAATGTTGACCTTTTCTTCATTGTATGAGGATTTACTTCTACCCTACAACAATAAAAGGTATATAACAGTTATGAGTAAAAGGATATGACGTCAAGGATAACCAAACATAAATTCTAACTACTATAAGAAAAATATAACCTCTTTTAATAAGTCAGCTTCTTGTAGTTCTTCAATATCACATTTTTGTACAGAGGTCAGCACATCAGCTCCTCCATTTTTACTGTTTTTCTTTCACTTCACATCACTTACCTCCCACCTGGATTACTTTCTTCTTCCTATTTTTTTTAACATTTATTTATTTATTTATGCATACAGAACTGGGGCACAGGCCAGAGGTGCAGGGGCAGCAAGAGGATTCATCAGAGACAGAGTGGGGAGCAGAAAAGGCAGATTGACAAAGTACGTTGCTGAGAGAAGCAGTGGGCGAGATAGGAGAGGTCTGCTGCCTCTGGCGGATCACCTCCTGGGCTGGGGATCCAACTTGCTAGGAAGCAGAGGCAGCTAGCTTGCAGTGCTGCACTTTAACCCACCAGGGAGGGCCCCAAGAATATTAAAGGGGTACAGAGTTCTAGGTTGGTAGTGATTTTATCTTATCTATTGAAGATAAATTTCATTGTCTACTGATTTCTATTGTTGCTATTGAAAAGTCCATGAAAACTTTAACTGTTGCTCCTCTAAAGGTAATCTTTTATTGTTAACTTTTCCAAATTTTTCTCATTGTTTTAATTTTCTGTAGCTTTAGTATTACAGTTTTAGTATTATAGTTTTAGGTGTGGGTACTTTTTTCTTGTTCTGCCTGAGATTCTGCCTCATAGAACTTCATGGTTATATGGATTCATGGAAAAACTTCAGTCATTATATCTGAAATTGCTTTGGCTCATTTTTTCTTCTGGGATTCCTATGCTGCATTTTTTGGGTCCATATACTTTGCGTTTTCCATGTTCTCTTCTATACATTCCAATATTTGCTTTTTTGTGCTTTACCTCAAATCTGTATTTCAGTTCACAAACTCCCTTCATATATGTTGTTTATATTCTACTTTATATTCAGGTTGTCCTGTTAACACATCAATTGAATTATTTCAGATATTGCATTCTTCTTTGTTCTAGAATTTCTGTTTGCTGCTTTTGCAAGAAGCTTCTGTCACTTTTTAGAATATTATCTTACACAGTTTTTGATTAAATTTCCTCAAACATAGTAAACATAGTGTTTTAAAGTCTACATTAAATTATAACAAACACTGGAGTCCTTCAGATGATGTTTTATTGTTTCTCATCTTCTCTCCTGGCATGGTGTGTTATCTTTGATTGCATAATGGACACTACGTTTTAAAAACTGCAGGGAAAAAAGGCCTAGGTTGATGATATTCTTCTATAAAGAGTTTTGATTAGTTTCTGTCAGGTACCTAAGGAAATTAAAATCTGAGATCAGTTTAGTTCATGTTCAGGGGCTGAGAATTTTCTAAGCAACCAAAATGACTCAAAATAGTCCTTTTAAGAGCTGGCTTCTGTTTATTTTGCACAGTGTAGGTGGCTTACCGGAGTCCCTGAACTTTGTCCCTCATACTCTGAACTTCACCTTTTAGAACCCTAAGCTACAAAAGTGATGCTTAGCCTTTTAGATACAGTCTCTATTTATGATATGGGTATATTCTGGGAAATGCATCATTGGGTATTTTCATTGTTGTGTAATCTTTGCACTGTGTGACAGTGGAATTTCTAAGTTTGGGACTGTAATGAACAAAACAATATAATTATAAATCAAGCATAATAGCATATAATGCTATTAAGAGATTTGTTAAACACAGGAGGTATGAAGCTGGCATAAACCACTGTAATTTTATGACTGCAATCTTACTAGGCAATAAGAATTTTGGAACCGCTAGTATATATACAATCCATTGATGAATGATATGTTATTATGTAGTACATGAATATGTTTCTTTGGCATTGACAAACATCCCTTAGATAAAAGTAATCCCGAAATGCTGAGCCCATCATTAATTATTTTTCTTCTCCCAGATGTTTTTTCTCACTGTTTTGCTAACTCTTTGATACTCTTTAAGATCTATCTATCTTTTCTTGTTGTCATTCTTTTAGTTGTTCTTAGAAGGGCAAACCTTAGCCCTGCAGCCCTTTAGTTGTTTGTTGTAACTTCTTTTGGTTGTTCTTAGAAGGGCAAACCTTAGCCCTGCAGCCCTCGTGGGGCTGCACGCACTGAGGTAGTGGGCCGGAAGGTGCTGCTGTACCTGCAGCCTTCAGACCACTGCCCATGGCCTCTAGGTGCCACTGGGCCCCTATTACAGAACAACTTTACTCCACTGCTGTATCACAGAGCAGTCATAAACTATATGCAAAGAAATAGACCTGTTATGTTCCAGTAAAGCGTTATTAAAACAGTCTGGATTTGGCCCCCCGGCCCTGGGTTGTTGACCCCAGGTCTAGAGTGATGACTAGTGGACTTATGTCTAGAGATCATTTCAATTTATTGTATTTTCCTCACCTATTACCTCTTCTTGTCAAAACATTGCCCCTGGCAGTTGTGTGTGTCAGAAATACGTTGCAAAACAGAAATCTGGGACTTGGGGCAGTGAACTGAAGGCAAATTGGTGTTTTTCATTCTACTCTGGATATGAGGAAATGAATGATGGACAGAGGGCAAATATTTTTGTGAAACATTGAAGCCAGTAAGAACTTGGACTTTTAGCTTCAAAAGAAGCCCTCTTCACCAATGATAACACAGATGATTTTAAATTATGATGTGATACCATAGTAATGATATTGATAATATAGACAATTTTATATTTTGAAATTTTTAGTTTTTGCTATAATGTTTTAAATAAATTAGAGATGTCCGTTTAAAAAATTGTTAAGATTTTTCCAAATAAGGTCATGTTTTAAACTTTTTGAGGATCTCTGGTTGAAGGTACTGTGTGGCAATGAAACAAATTAAAAATGAACAATATAAAGCTTTGAGTTCTCCTGCCTTATCTGTTTAGACCTTGTTGTTAGGATCTAAAAGCTTGGTTCACTATCAAACAGAAAAGCCCACCTTCCCCTTTCTGGCTTCCTCATTTTGCATCACGTCTCCAGTCAGGATCAGAGGACTTTCTTTATAAAGTCCCAAAAGAAACTCTTGCTATAAGTAACAATGAAGTAACTACTGTTAAGTTAAAGAGAATTAAATGTGATAACAAATGTGGATATGGTGGGGAGTGCCAGAAAACCCTGTAAGACCTGGGGTTGGCTGGCCTTGCAGGCTGATGGTGATGAGGGAGATTCCTCGAGCTGCGCATGCTTGCTGTCACAGCTGCACCCTTTGCTTGCTCAGGATACCTGACTTCTGCTTAGGAACTCTGCTTGGCTTTGAGTACCGACTTCAGATTCTCCATGAATGAAATAAACACTGATTATATGCCATAGGAGAAGGACTAGGCATAAGAGATACAATGGTAATTAAGAAACCAGAGTAGAAGACAAGTCATGTGAAAGTCATATGTGAAGTACCACCTACAACAAAGATACCTGTAAGATACAGTGATGTCATGGGGGGCGGGTGTTGCTCTGTTCATTTTAGGGTGAGGTAAGGGGAAATGACTGTTTCTCAGAAATAACGGTCGTTGAATGAGTTGTAAGGGTCTCCTAGAAGTTAGTCAGACAGAGGGACAATGGGTGTTGGGGAAGGGTCTAGGAAAGAGAGAGATAGTTTTGCAAAAACAGTGAGGTAAGAGAAGAAGCATGTGCAAGAAAGAATCATTCAGTTCCTTTTTTTTTTTTTTAAAGATTTATTAATGCTTACAGAACTGGGGTACAGGCCTGAGGTATGGTGGGTGAGAGGATTCACCAGAACAGAGTGGGGGAACAGAACAGACAGATCTACTGAAATACACTGCTGAGGGGAGCAGCGGGCGGGTCAGGAGAGGTCTGCCATGCCATGTGGGTCACCTCTCTGGCTGGGGATCGAACTCGTACTGCTGTGGCTTCTGAGAGCTTCATAGTGTGGTGCTTTAACCCATTGCACCACCAGGGAGAACCCCATTAAGTTACTTTAATTAAGTACTCTAGATTTCTGGGGCAAAAAGAAAAATGGAACAATCACATCTGAATCGATTCCCACATGTCTTATTGTAGAAGAAAACCTTAGGGAA